GATGGCTGGTCGGAAGCAGCTGCATAGCACAGGGAGATCAGCTCGGTGCTTTGTGTCCACCTAGAGGGGTGAGATAGGGAGGGTGGGAGGGAGACACAAGAGGGAGGAGATATGGGGATATATGTATATGTATAGCTGATTCACTTTGTTATACAGCAGAAACTAACACAATATTGTAAAGCAATTATACTCCAATGAAGATGTTGAAGAAAAAATAAAAGAGTCCCTGTCATCCAGGGAATTCCAAGGGATTTAGGAGCTCTGTGCCAGGAACGGGTAAGGAAGACCAAGTATATATTTCTTACTGTAATCACACAAGGTTTGTTACTTTTATTGATTCAGAATAGAGAGGAACAAAAGCCATAACTCCCTTCTTCTTGCTTCAATACCCCTGATCTCACGTGCAAAGCTTTCTGACAGATGAAAGCCAGCCACGAGAAATGGTTTTGTTTTAGGTGGCATTGCTTTCGAGAAGCCTCCTTCAGCTTCCCTTCCCTTCTAGCTCTTGTAAGCCAACTGTCTGTTGATTGGTCATCATGCTAAAAGCAGATCAAATACAGGTACTATAAATGGGTTAGGATGCACAGGCTTATTCAAACCCCACGTACATGGAGTCTCACTCATTTAAAGCCGCCCTTGGTCCACAGATCAAGGCTGTTTTTCTCACTGTTGCTGGTCTTCCCATCGGTCACCAGCTCCCAGGAGTTTCCGCTAGGAAACTGCCGTGACCCTTTGGCCACAGGAAAGCGGAGTTCAGACTCTAATGGGTCCAGCAAAGTCGGGAAACCTACCTAAGGGGGACGAAGGGAGAGAAGATGCCCCTACCCTCGAATTATTTCTACAGAAACCTTGAAGTCTCCTCGCTTCCTGTTCTTCCCCTCCCCCACTCCACGTTCACCAAAATGACTCATAGATTCTCACCTAAAAGTGGTTATTTCTGAATTTTACACGACAGTAACTTCTAGAGAATGTACATTCGCACATACATTTTGGGATACCTTTTTCTCAGAGTCTTTCAAATACTTCCAACTACATGAGTTGCCTCTTCTAGGTTCTTAAGACAACGTGAATTTTAAGCTTAGCTTATCGGTCCCCGCCCCAAGTGTCAGTGAGAACTGAGAGGAACCAGAAGTGAAAGACCCTGGAACAGATGCGGGCTTTGAACCTCAGCAGGGCTGGAAACATTCCAAGAGCAGATGTCACAGTCCTTCCCCTCAAGACCTCCAAAAAAAAGCAACGTGAGAAATGAAGCAACTGTGCCGCCAAGGCCGAGCCCTCACACAACTCCAGGGGGCACCATTCATGGGAAAACAGTGTGAGAGGTCCCCTGGCGCTGTGCAGATACTGGCCTCTGAGAACAAGAATGCTGTTTTTCCACAATGTGTGTGTCGCCTGAGACACACACCACGGGGGGCTTCCTGGGAGAAGGGCTATTTCCTGCCCTGGGCACGGAAGCCGCTCCACGAATCTAAGAGGATGTGGCTGTCGGTAAATATGACTTAATTCTGTTCCTCATCCACCCAGAGCCCTCCCTGAGGACCTCCGCTTGTACTTTGGAAACAGCCCAAGCTTTGGAATGAGGAATTTTGAAGGCTGGTTCTGCTCTTCGAGGGCTGCACAGCCCTGGCTAAGTTACTCGCCCTCTCTGTGTCCGGGTTTCTCATCTGTCTGTCTGGTGAGTTAATAGTATCTAATACTTGGAGTTATCACACCCATTAAGAGAATTCTCCCTTTCCTGGTAGACTCTGGGCCTTTGTGGGTGGTGTTAGAGAGAATGGCCAAGGTAGGCTGGTTTGATTTACATGGGAAAGAACAGAGAGTTGCTAGAGAAGAAGAAGGAAAAATCCATCGGAAAAAAGATGAGAAAAAGGAAAGGAGAAAAGAGCTAAAGTAGGCCAGTTCGGGGGGAAATCGGGGAGAGTGTGGAGGAAAGGAAGAGAGAGATTCATGGTTCATATACGTGAACTATATTTAGAGAGAGACAGTTGGGGGACAGTGATTATTAAACTGTCCTTTAACATTTTTTAGAGATAACTCAGTTGAATAAGCAAATAGTTTTTATCACAGAGGTCGCTGAAAACCATTTCCTTCTTCGGCTTGTCCAAGAGTGAAATAAGGATGGAAACACCCAGAAGCCTATTAAATTAATGTCCCCTCCCTGGCTCCATTCTCACCCCCAGCTATAAACACCAGCAGGTCAAGGACTGTAACACACCACACCATGACAGCTCGTGGGCATGGCTGCTGGCACAGGGAAGATGCCAATCTGATGTGTCATCGAATGTATGGTCTTCTGTGCTGTTTCCAGTTTTCAAGCCCAAAGAAGGCTGAGAGAAAATTACAGCCTCCTTTGATTTCATTGTCATGGGCCATGGGGTCCCATGAGGTGTGATGTGGAGCTGACCACTCTCTGGGAACCTCAGAGATGAGCCATAAACCTTCTAGAAACATCTGTACAGAGCTCATTTATGTTATTCAAAGCTTCCTGAATTCAAAAGAAACCACATAAAAAGTCAGCAAAACCACTTGTGCATTTTAAGACATTTCCTGATCTCTTATACTAGCAATAATAAATTGGAAAAAAGATCCCTTGGAGCAAACATTTTTGTTTGTACCTGTGGGCAGGTGGTATTCTGCATTGTGAATTGACGGGTTTTTAACATTTGATGCAAGCATCTGAACACACATATTATTAAAACATCTTCTTTTTCTCTGTCGTATAAGAGTCACTTTTTTAGTGGTCCTCAAAGTGAAACGGGGTGGTTTTATACAGGGCTTATATTTGGAAATAGAGTCAGAGGGATTCATGAAGGCTGAATCAGTGGCGATGTTATTTTTTAGTTTCAGAGACTAAATCCCATCAAATTTCTTTGTCTGATTTTTGTGTATCCTCGTAAACCTGAGAGCCAAATAAAGGAGAAAATCAGTAAACTTTGCTTTCCTCTTGCTATCCAACTTCTCATGCCCATTTCATGTTTACTTTGCCACAGAACGTTTTAATTCACTTAAGCTCCACCCCCACGTGCAGCGGACAGAACTAATTGTATCATCCCTTTATTTCCATCAGGAGCAAATAAAGCAAATAAAGCAAACCACTTGTCCATGAAACTGAAATGCTCCTGATGGGGTTGCAGATGCATTTAGATTAATGAAACCCTCCACTCACAGATCCTTGCACATGACGGAGACAGAAGGACAGGAAACCTGACATACATTCGCCAGCTCAACAGAGCGCAAAGCGCCTATTCCCACAGTCTTAAAGATTTACTCCAGGACAAGCTGCAAATACAAACATTCACCAAAATTCCTTCCACCCTCACTCTATTCTCAGGAGAAAATGGGCTCTTGTAAATGTGTACCCATGGCACCTAGAGATATTTTCAAAGGAAATAGCCAGAACTGGCATTCCCACCTATACTGCAGTGGCAACTTCCACACCACTTAAAAGAAATAATGGTATTTTTTTCCTGGATAGAAAAGAACGCTACTGTATAAAGTTGTTTTGCTTTGTTTGGTTTTTGGTCGCACCACACAGCTTGCATTGCTTGTGGGATCTTAGTTCCCCGACCAGGGATCAAACCCGTGCCCCTGCAATGGAAGCACAGAGTCCTAACCACTGGACCGCCAGAGAATTCCCTAGAAAGTTTAAAAACACAAAAAAAGAGGTGAGAAAAAATAAAATCACAGAATCCTAAAATTTTTGATGTAAATCTTTCTAGGCTTCTTCTATGCATGTTTTTGATTATGGAAATATATATGATGAAAAAGAAAACAATTCTACATTTGCTTGATAAATTGAAACTTTAAATTAACTATGTAACAGGAATATGTTCCCACTTCATTAAATATTATTTCATATCAGCACTTGAAATGGCTATATAATGTTGTATCACAGGGTGGTGCTATGATTTATTTAACCAATTTAATTCCAATTGCTGGACATTAATCCCAATTTTCTGCTATTAAAATCAGTACTTCATGAAGTGTCTTTGTGTACAGATCTTGGCAAACCTCAGCAATAAATTCTTTGGCATAAATTGGGGATGTTGAAATGCCGGGTTACAAAGCATGTCCATTTTAAACATCAATTTTCAGTCTTCCTAATCATGCCAACATTGCAGATTATTTTAACAAAAATAGTTTGCCAATTTGATAAAAGAAAAATGTTACCTCAGTGTGGTTTTCCTATGAATTTCTACGATTGCAAATGAGGTTAAAGGTTTTCTTTCTTCTGTTTATTAACCACTTATATTTTTCTTTTTGTTTTGAGTATTCATATCCTTTCCCTAACTAAAAAATGTTTGTCTTTTTCTTACTGACATAGATGACCTCTTCCAATATTAAAGATAGTAACCTTTTGTTAATATACTGACAAATTTTTCCTGGCTTTCCATTTGCCTTACTTGTATTTATGATTTTTTTTAAATGTACAGAAGTGTTTCATTTTTATGCAGTAGAAACTATCAGTCTTCTCCTTTATGTTTTCTGACTTTGGCTATATAGGTTTAGAAAAGCTTTCTCTAAGTCCCACAGACTTTTGTCAAAAAATCATAATCATGACCTGCCTTGTGATAGCTTTTTCATTGTTGGGCAAGGTATAAATAGTAACTGAAGGCTGGGACCAGCTCTTATGCTTACTTCCCCCTTAAATGTCCTGTATTTAGTAGATCACAATCCATTCATCAAAAACATGTTTTTAATTGAGCACCTACTACATTCCAGGATTATTAAATATAGATGAGACAGACACTGGACACAACTGCTTCTTCATGAATTCCACCAGCACACATTGCATAATTAACACATGTGAACAGTGCAAAGATCAGAGCAGAAAAGCAACAGTGATGAATTCAAAAAGAGTCCCTCTCCCTTGAGAAATTTATAGTTCAGTATACCCTGGAGGAATTAAAGAGAGGTATACCCTGGAGGAATTAAAGAGAGGATTTAAAAGAGACAGATATTTAAAAGAGACTGAAATACAAGGAAGAAAGTATAAGTACCTTGTGAGATGGGGAAAAACTCAGTGTTCACACAGTGGAAGTCAGGGAGGGTCTGTGGAGAAAGTATCATTTGAAGCGAGCCTTATAGGTTGAGATGAAGGAGACATCATTCTCTTCTTCCTGCCGTCAGAGAGAAGGGGAAGCAGGCACATTAGACTCAGTTTCCCTCCGCAGTATTAACAAACAAACAAAAAAAGGGTGGGGGGAGGAAATTCCCTGATGGTCCAGTGGTTAGGACTCCGCGCTTTCACTGCAGAGGGCCCAGGTTCAATCCCTAGTCAGGGAACTAAGATCCCACAAGCTGTGTGGCGTGGCCAAAAAAAATTAAAAAAAATAAAACCCAAAATGTTAAGCAGCCAAATATGCCTGTAATCAACCCACAAAGGCTAGAGGAGGGGCTCAGTGAGGGGCTTAGGAAAAAGAGTTAGCATTTCTTTACACTGTCTTTTGCATTTACATTATGCTTATGGAATTTTTGGGGGTACGGTTTTCTTTTTTATGTAGTTAAATCTTCTTGAACAGTGTGGCAGATTATACTTCCCAAGGATGGCCGCACCAATGTATATCCCATTATATATGCTCCTCTTAGAGTGTGACCCTAACAGGCTTCATGGAAAGGTAGAGTCTGTGTTCCCTGCCTCTGTACTTGGGTGGACCTTCCTAACTGCCTCAGCCAGTAGAATGTGGCAGAAGCGCTGCTGCATGACGCCCAAGGCTAAATCCTAGATGCACTCCTAGCTGGCTCTCCTCTCTCTTGGGACACTTGGTCTCTGAACCCAGCCACCCCATTTTGAGGAAGTGCAGGCCACATGCAGAGGCTGGATGTGGCCTGGGGCTGTGTTCTCACCAACAGCCCCAGGTAGATTCCTGGTCAACAACCAGATGAGTGAATGAGGAGTCGAGGCTCCTGCTGTGATTTACATCTTGAGATGTTTACTGTGCCTTCTGGAGACTTGATGGAGGTGAGGACTACAGGCCAGGAGTGGAAGCAGGGAGACCAGTTAGGAGGCTATAGCAATAATCCAGGACAGAGAAGATGCACTTTGGGTTTGGGTTATACCAGTAGCGTAGGTGAGAGGTAATCCTATCTGGGAAATGTTTTGAAAGTAGAGCTGATGGGGTTTGCTGATGGATGGGATGGGAGTTGGGAGAGAAAGAGAAGAGTCGCTGACTATGTCTAGATTTTGAGTCTGAGCAATTGGGTTTCAGTGTCATTTATTGAGATGAGGACACCTGAGGGAAGGGCAGCTTGGCAGGGCAGGGTAGGTCAATCGTTGCATCTGGGGCATGTTCTACGAGAAGCCTGCTTGACATCCAAGTGAAAAAGCTAAATCAACAGTGGGATACGCGAGTCTAGAGCTCAGAGGGAGGCCCTAAGCTGGAGACAGAAACTTGGGAGTCACTGGCACACGGATGGTGTTGCCGATGGTACTGCTATATAAGAAATGACCCCAAAACTTAGCTTAAAACAGCTATTTCATTGACCCACCAATTCGTGGGTTCGAAATTCAGGGCAGGGCACAGGAGGAATGTTTAGTTTCTACTCCACAAATCTTGGGTCTGAGCTTGGAAGACTCAAGGGTTCGAAGCAACATGATGACTGGGGCTGGAATCACCAGGAAGTGTCTTCACTCACAAATCCGGCAGTTGAAGCTGGCTGTTCACTGGGACCTCAGCAGGGGCTGTCAACTGGAACGCTTAGAGTGGCTTCTCCATGTGGCTTGGGTTTCCTTGGGGTAGCTGGACCACTTACATGGCAGCTCAGGGCTCCAAAAGTGAGTGTACCAGTGAACAAGGTGGAAGTGCACCGTCTTTCCTAACTTAACCTTGGAAGTCATGCAGCATCGTTTCCACCTCATCCTCTGGGCTACCAGAGAGCTAGAGCTTGCCAAGACTCAAGGTGGGGTGGGGAGGGTGGTGGATATAGATCCCTCCTCTCCATGGAAAGAGTGTGAAGACCACGTTGTAGAAGAGCATATGGGATGGAGATACTGTTGTGGCCAACTCTGGAAAACACAATCTGCTACAGATGGTATTGATTCAGGGCCTCATAATTGGATGACATCACTTAGGAACTGAGTGCAGACAGAGAGAAGAGGTCCCGGAATGAACCCTAGGCCTCAACATTTAGAGACTGGGAGGAGGAGCCAGTGGGCAGAAGCAAGCCTAGAGCAAATGCTGTTTCTTGCAGGGCTGCCACTTTCTGCTGAAACTCCTTAGGGAACAGGGTCGGAACATGTTCTTGCATCACCTGCAAGCCAGGGCCAGAACCGGCCCTCCCCCAGTGGGCACTGCCTGGAGGCTCAGCTGAGCACAGCTCCTCAGGCCCCCCAAGACGATCAGGTAGTCAGTAACTCTGGGTCCTGCAGGTGCTCAATCTTCCGTAACACAAGGCAAGGTAGAGAGGGTGGTGGACTTAGACCCCTCCCCTGTAAGGAGGGGAACCCCCAACCCTAGCCAACCCACCCTTTTGGAAAACCATTTTTGCCTCTTCTTCAAGAGCTGAAGAATCCTCCAATTTACTCAATTCCAAAGAAAATTTAACATCCATACAGTAGCATCTGGATTGAGATTCATTTGACTTCAGTTTTCTCTAAGAATTAGCGGGTGAAGGTTGTCTTACATCTTGGAGAACTACCTAAACTAACAGACCACCTCCAGGGAACTACACTGCCAGAAGTTCCCTAGATGGCAGGTCCCAGGAGATAATACAAAAGAATTAAGTTCCTCTTGACAAAGACCCTGCTATAATAGTTAAACGGTCCATGTGTTGGAGTTGGGAATTCTGTTATTATATAAATGTCTTGCTGAAATGGGTCTGACCTCTACAGAGATTCAAAAAGAATAAGGCACATTCCTTTAACGTTATTTTTGCTCATGCAAACGATGCCCTATTACACCCAGTAATGCTTAACTACTAAGTTAAAAGCAAATACATAGCAATTTGGACCACTCCAGGGTCGCTCTCACTGTTTTGTGGTTTTATGTAATTCGAATATTGTATACAAGAAGACTTGACCTGGAGCAGGCAGCAAGAAATATGTAATTAGAAACACTTCCCAAGGAAATTATAGTGACAAGTGAAGGCTTGAGGATTTCCGCGGGAGCCTGGAGCTGCAGATATTCATTATAGGTACTTGGGAGGCTCAGCTGCCCTGCTGAAAACCGTGTCTAATTGCTGTGCGGCTGGATGCAGGCATGGAGGACAGCCCAGAGCCAGGAATTGTGTCTATGGCAACACGACGCTCCATTTTTAAACTTTTCATTGCGCAAGAAGAAATTGCTTAGGTTTTTTTTTTTTTTTTTCTCTTCTGCTCCCTCCCCATTCCAGAGTTTGTACCAGCAGGGATTACCCTCCAGGTCTAACATTTCCTGGTAGCTAATGCTAGCTGAGTTAGGTGCCTTTTGCTTTACCTCTAGCGTTAGCAGCTCCAGCCGGTCATTAATTACTGCACCAGGAAGCATTTTCCAATCAAATTATTGTTTAATCAAAACAAAAGCAAATGAATGCTTGTTGCTGTCAACAATGATCAACTCTCCCTAAGAGTCTAAAGGGGAATGCTGGAGGTTTTCCACTTACGGAGAAGTGTCCCTCTGGGAGGGAGGGTCAGTTAAGAAGGCCTTTGTCTAGATACAGTGAAGTTGCCTAAAGTACAGTTGAGAATGCTTCCCTGTGGGCGGAGAGGAAGCTGACCCCCAGGCAGGAAGACCCAGGAAGCTGATACACGCACCATCCTGGGTCCCCAGTCATTCTGCTTTGTTAGGGTCCGCGTGTCCTTGCTATTAGGCTAAATGCCCCAAATGCTTCTACGAGAGTGTCTGAGGGGAAAGACTGCTTTCTGGAGCAGTGAATAAGTGAAATCCACCTGCACGATAACAGCCACACTTCCTGAGTGCAGACAGCGTGCCCTGTGGCTTACAAACACGAGTTAGTGACCCTCGTAATTCCCCCCACCCCTAGTACATCATTATCCCCGTTTCACAGATGGGAAGACTAAGATTCAGACAGGTTAACCTGGCCAAGATGCACAACAGCCTGGTAAACAGCAGAGCCCACACTTGATTCGTAGTCTTTCCGTCAGCACCTTCCCTCTTTATTTGCTTTTAAAATTTTATTTGCGCTAAAATACACGTAACGTAAAATCTACCGTCTTCACCATTTTTAACTGCAGTACAGTGGCATTACGTGCATTCACACTGTTGTGCAGCACCACCATCATCCATCTCTAGAACTCTCTTCAACTTGCAAAACTGAAACTCTGTCCCCATTCAACAATAACTCCCCATCCCCCCTCTCCCCAGCCCCTGGCAACCACCATTCCACTTTCTGTCTCTGAATTTGACTTCTCTAGAGAGTGGAATCAGACAGTATCTTTCTTTTTGTGTCTGGCTTATTTCACTTAGCATGATGTCTTCAAGTTTCGTCCATGTTGTAGCATGTGCCAGAGCTTCCTTCCTTTCTAAGGCTGAATAATATTCCATTGTATGTATGTAACACGATTTTTTTTGTCCCTGCACCCATGGAAGGACACTTAGGTTGCCTCCACCTTTTGGCTATCGTGAATATGCTGCTGTGTTTAACTCCTAACCACTAAGATACATAGAGACTTGGAGAATGAGTCTCAAAGGAAGGCGCACTGCCATGGGCTGCCTGACACGCCCCAACCTGAGCAGATCAGCCAAGTACCAGGTGGCCCATCACCCACTGGAGAAGGCACCACCTCACTGGCAGGGGAAAGCGATGCGCAAGGCCAAAACATCCCACAGGTTGGCCAATTGGAGAGGCACAGCTCCACGCTGGCACACCCAATGCCAGTGTGTTTCCCTGAGCCTTAGATTCTGGGGAAAACAAGGTTCTTCAAATCCAAACTGCTCAGTCCAGACTTCACTGCAGGATTCCCCACCTGAACGGAGCGTGCCCTGGGACTCCACTGGCGCACCCGCCAACCCCTGCCGACTTCTCCATTCGGTGGTTCTGAGGGCGGCTAGGAGTGAGCTGTGTTCCCTCCTGAGGTTACCACCCTAAGGTTTTTGGAAATGTGAGGAGCATTTCTGGTTGTCATAACCATCTGTCTGGGGGACACTACTGACATTTAACATGTGGAGCCAGGGACAAGAGG